GGCTTCAGCCGATGAAACTAGCGTTAGCGTGGCTATCTAGCAAGTTTTATCGGAATTACAGAGTATTTCTTCACTGAAAGAAGAACAAAACACTGCTCTGGAGGCTTTTCTCAGAGGAAAAGATGTTTTTGCTCTTCTCCCGACTGGTTGGGGCAGGAGTTAGCCTGGCTTGTGGTTGTGTTTTTGTCGTCGCTCTGTTAGTACGTCATATGCTTCATTGATCTGATTTGTTTATTTGGCCCGTCATTCACCAACATAGGCCAATCAGCTAACCAGTATTTTCGCCCCTTCCCAAAATTACTTCAACGGAAGGTTTCCAGATGGATATGCGGAGCAAATCCATCTGGCGGAGTCAGGTTACAGGACATGAGGAACTGAATCAAAATCATGCTCCAGGTTTTATGCCTGTTAGATGACAACCTGCTGCAGGAGGTGAAGTAAGATGAGAAAAAAAAAACCTTCAAACGTACAAATAAATGTTCACTGCCAACATCAGATGTCCCCCAAAGGTAGAAAACAATTGTATCCAACTAAACTTGTTCTTTAGCCAGAGACTGAGAGAAATACCAACTTTAATTAATCAGAAATTTGCACAAGCAGCTGCAAAAATCAGATAATGAAACTGAATGTATAAGCCTGAGTTAGCGCATCATGAAGTGAGAGCAAGTGTATTCTCATTATCAGTTCGTATGAAATCCTACGAAAAGTTCTGCACAGTAATTTCGTATGTTTTGGACGTTTTTTTTCGTCGTATTTCGTGGTATTTTTACGTCTTGCCTCGAGACAAGATATCTTTCCGCATCTTCAATAACATAGAATTTAACATACAATTAAACCTAACCCTGACCCTAACCCTAAGATACAAAACAGCAAGCAACCTAGTTAGAGACATCAAGAAGTAATTATTGCACTGTTTTTCCCAGTTTTACGTCCGTCCGCGGATCTGCTTTTTTCGTCTGTCTGCCTGCGCATGCGCACTGATCTGTATTTTCGAGGAAAAACATCCAAAAGTACGAAATACTGTGCATAACTTTTCGTCTGCTCCTGTTTGGCTGTGACTCCATCCTGAAAAAAAAGAAACATCAGCTGTGCTGCTTCCATCAACACCCTTGTTTATAGATGCTGGAGATCGGCCTGTTTTCCAGTGTGGTCCTGTTTCTCTGACCGTGACTGAGTGGATGTGCTCTCTTCGTCCTCTGGCATGGGAGCTGGCTCGGAGCTTGTCTGCCTGGCTGTGTGTTTCCTGGACGGGGCCGCCTTTTACAGCTGCTTTTTGTATCTATGCTTCTTTTTCTATGTCTGCTTCTGTCTCCTTGAACCCCAGTCGGCCTCGGCAGATGGCCGCTCACACTGAGCCTGGTTCTGCTGGAGGTTTCTTCCTGTTAAAAGGGAGTTTTTCCTCTCCACTGTCGCTACAAGCATGCTTAGTGTGGGGGATTGTATTTGAGTCAATGAGTCAATGCAATCAACTGGTTTTCCTTAGATAGAAAACTTTGTATCAATTTGACTGTATGATCTGGTTGAACTGTAAAGTGCCTTGAGATGACATGTGTTGTGAATTTGGCGCTATATAAATAAACTGAATTGAATTGAATTGAACTTTTCGTACGATTTCATACGAACTGATAATTAGAATATGTTGAACTGCTTTGAGGAATTTCATCAAAAAGAGGAGGCAATCATGATATCTCTCTCTTTACAAATATGACCATAGACTCTGACTTAAAAATAAATCTACAATTATTACGTCAGTCGTGCAGCACAGCTACTTTCTGCAGAAAGCTAGAAAAGCAGATATCTGTTGTAACTGAAATTATTAATTAGCTTAACAAAGTGTTTGGACTGTAGGTGGAAATTCAGTGTTTCTTAAACCACAGAATAAGCTTTCTGTTCCCTAATGGCCTCAACAGCCATCAATCCATCACAGAACATCTATGATGTGTTGGAGCAAAAGGTTCTTGTCATCAATGTTCAATGAATAATCCTTCACAATCAGAGAGGTGCTACCATGTTGCTGACACCTTGATGTATCTATAACATGACAGATCAGGGCCGTTCTGAAGGGAAAATAGGTTTAAATGAATAGGTATACCTAATAAAAATGACCTGGGAGTGTATTTTAGGGATAATTCTACCACATTCCACAGACTGGGCTAAATTCCTTCTATCTGACTTGATAATCTGGGAATTAGGCATCTTCTTTAAATAATCCAGTTGTGTTGCAACAGCAGAGGATGTCCTCAGCTTCAGGAATGTGACAAAACTGCCATTCCCCTGTGAGCGCTAATTATGGGTTTTCTGCTGCTCAATGAAATTCTTTCACTCATAGTTCCTGTTTTACTCCCTGGGTGTTATGTTTCATATGAGGTGTTCCCTGCACTGACGCAATTAATGCTCACAGTTTTTCCATGGCGACATACAGTAGTTGGATGTCAGGACGATTATCACATTTCAGCGTTTCGACAACCCCATCAAAAAATGAATTTTCCAAACTCTAGATTGTATTTTTACTTTATTTTTGCCATTTTGAATACAGTTATTTTCCTGTCCTGATGCTCCTTAAGCAGTGAGACCATTGAATGGATACTGGCCATGCCCTTGCAGGCAGAGGCACACATGCTATCAAACGTGGCACTTCACTGTCATTTGTTACGTAACTTAGGACTCTTTGACTTTGTCTCCAGTTTTAAAGCTCTCCCCTGCTGGCTGTGTGATTTAAATTGCCTGCAGTAGATTGAAGGACAATTAAAGAGCTTCAAGGTCGCTATAAACGCTCTTATCAGATTCAAAACTAGGTCAATGATTGAACTGCAATACAACCTTTCAATCTAGACTAAGCTCTTGGCTCTCTGTGAAAACTTGAGGGATGGGAGTAAATTTCCAAAGTGCTACTGGCTTTAAAGAACATACAGGAGATACAATTACCTCCAACACTACCCTACACTGGAAAAAATCTAAATCTAGATAAGTAATTTTTTCTTAAAATAAGTGCATTTGTTCTTGGATTGAGGAAGAAAAAGAGACATTTTGCCAAATTTACATTTTACAATTTACATTTAACATAAATCTTGGATTCTCTTTTTTCAAGTGCATGTTATCTAATTATCTTATTTTTAGGGTAAAAATAGTCATTCCATTGGCAAACTATCTAATTTACCTATTCAAATTAAGGGAAATACAGTTGATGTAAGAAATGTTTAAGTTATCTCTAGATCGTTTTTCCAGTGTACATTAGAGTGTATTACATTTTGTTGATAAATGCTGGTAAAAGGTTTACTTTTTTGAGGATTTGTTTGTTGATGACATTTATTTCTTGTGTTTTTCTAGGATTGTTCTGATGCTCCATTTATACCCAACCAAGATGTCTTCATCACATCTTGAAAAACAATCAGCTGCTGCAATGCGATTGGCTGAATTTATTTCAGCAAGCACACTAGAAAATTTGACCCTATATATTTTATAAGAAATCCAAAGTAACTCAAACCAGTGAATCAAAGCCCAGGTATAAAAACCCTCTGCATAAAACAATAATTTTGAAAAATGATGTGTAACATTTTGACTAAACTGGGATTATACCTCTCACCACAGATATAGTGGGAATAATTTGGAGTTTTGCTTATATTTCATGATAATCATCTTTCTCTTACCCTAATGATGAGCTACATATGAACGACATCGCAACAACAGAAAGCAGTTTAGTATTTTACTTATTAATCAGTGCATGTTTCTATTTTTAGTTTGACATTGTGAACTTTTCCAAACTTTCCAGGCACAAGGTCCAAAACTTTATGAGCCTCAGCTGGTTTGTATTTAGATAAAATCCTCGAGGCAGGCAGGTCCATTCTGTCCACCACTGTGTGAAAAGAGGCATGCAGAGGAAAGAAAAAATGCAAAACTCTGGAGTTCTTTTTAAATATAGGCTTAAAGAAAAGTAGTGCATACATTGACATCAAGTTAATCTTTACTAAACTTCTTATAACAAATGAAAAACCGGAAAAGTTATGATGCAGAAGGAACAAAGATGTGTAATGATCCCATGTTTAGCCTGTTCCATCTCTCTTGATTAAAAAATATTTTATCTTTAAGTAGCACTGTTTATATCTATTCTACAAACTGAGGAGTGAGCTCCTTCTAATGTATCATCCTCAGGAAAATATACTTCCTTGGTAAAATTAGACCTTTGTATTAAAAAAATACAACATGTGATAAGAGTAGAAAAATAAACTTTTTATTCTAACAGCAATTTACAGAATTACTCGTATTTCCTCCATTATACTATTTTTGATTCCTCGTTTTAATCCCAACTAAAACTATAACTCTTTCTAAATGTTCCTCCATGTTAGTTAAAACATGATTATCTTTTATTAAAGTAAACTTCTTGCAATATTTTAGCAAAATAACCCTTATGAGTTTTCCTGTAGAATTTTCTTTAAAATTGTCATTTTTAGTATTTTTTAGTATTGCTGTGATCACAATAAACATTTTTCAATCAAGATTTGATTGATTGACTTTATATATATCTCACAGTGGAGAAATATACTTGTTACATCTGCTCAATAGTCAAAAATAAGAAACAGTGGATCCATCCATCCATCTATCTATCTATCTATCTATCTATCTATCTATCTATCTATCTATCTATCTATCTATCTATCTATCTATCTATCTATCTATCTATCTATCTATCTATCTATCTATCTATCTATCTATCTATCTATCTATCTATCTATCTATATGATTTATATATATGATTTGTGATTACTTTGTATGTTTCCATTTATGTGTTGTTGTTGTTTACACTAAGCGCACCTAAATAACTAGCACCCCTCCTGTTCCTTCATGCGCTTTCCTACGAAAATTTTCCACGAATGCGCTCTTTCCGATAGCACCTGAAGGCACCACGACTGCTCTGAGTGGGAGGGGACGTTCACGTCCCTCTGTAGAAACTGAAGCGCTCAACGATTCCCTCACACTTCAACGTTTGATTGTTGAGCGACTCAGCTGCAATAACTGTTTAGTTTGGATTATTTCCGAAGCGCGGACATCATCATGCCGTCTCTGCGACACTCCTACACGGTGACCGTCCCGGGTCACCCCTTACTGGATGAACCGGAGCTGCGGCAGAAGCAGCTGTCCCGATCCATGCTGGTGTCTACCTTCATGGGGCTGATCATCAACCCGGCCAAGGTGAGTCCAGCTCCGGCTCATCTTTTCCACAGATCCACCGCGGAAACTGACTGTGTGGGTAGAAGAGGAGGCTGTTCTTCCTGCAGATTAATTTCTTTAAAATGCATTTTTCTGTTCTGGGAATAATATAAACAAAACATTTAATTTTTAACGTTCTTTTTATTTTAAGATATTAATGTTATTATTATTATTATTATTATTTTTTTTTTTCAGAAAATTTGACAGTCCTACTGCTTAGCAGAGATTGTTATAAGAAAAGCTTTTAGATGAACTTTAGGATGTTTGACATAAAAAAGCATTGATTCTATTTTGCTCATTTAATTAAATGTTTTTTTTTTTTTTTAACAAGATGAAACATCAGGTTTTAACATCTGCACAGGACAGTGCATAAATAAAACCAATACCTGCTGCAATCAGGTGTAACATTATGACTGGGGTGGGCTCTGTAACTGCTGCAAACTTCACAGGGTTAACTTCTCCAGGAGCTTTAAGTGTAAAAGCTCAACATGGGCCCAGTGGCGCCTCCAGAAATGTTTCATAGGGGGGCCAGATGGGGCCACTAAAAATCTTGGGGTGGCACACTGAAACTACAAGCCATAATTTCAGGATTTGAATCTACTATTGTGGTAAACCTGCCTGTAGAAATCACAAAGACCCAGTGGCGGTTCTAGACCAAATGTACCAGCGGGCCTAGAGGGGGCCATCATTTTTCAGGGGGGCACAGAAAAGCATGAAATTTAAAAAAAGGCAAGGGATTCAAATATATTAAGATAGCTGCATGGTGTATATATATATATATATATATATATATATATATATATATATATATATATATATATATATATATATATATATATATATATATATATATATATATATATATATATATATATATAAATTAGGTTGAATTAAAATAGTATATATCTCAATACCACTGAATCTGCCCCTTAATTGTTTTTAAATGATTAGTAAAATAGAATTTGTAAAGGGAAAAAAAGAGTGAAATAGATCCAAAGGACCAATCAGTAACCATGTCTGTTCAAGCACATATCATCATAAGAACTACTTAGAGTATTATGTCTTCTGTACAGGGGCCATAACAGGGATCAGGAGATGATATACAGGGGCACTGGCCCCCGTTGGCCCCTGTCTAGAACCACACATGCAAAGACCAACTCATATTTTGGTTTAATGTTTGATTTTTAATGTTACGCTGCTTGCTGTGCATAATGAGATGAAATGCAAAATTTATGCTACAGCATTTTATACTGGTGAGTGGGATAGCCAGGGCATTGCACAGGGGGGCCGAGGCCACCCCTGGCCACCCCCTGGTGGTGCCGCTGCATGGGCCAATCTTTTAAAAGCAATGCTGAAGGATATGGATCATGCACCGCAGATAGGGGTCACCTGGCCACACCTGAGATAGCATGCGCCCATTTTAATTTAGCCTTTTGCTAAACTCAATTCTTTTTGCTTGGGTAATCAGTTTTATTCACATAGAGGTCGTTATTTTATGCCTGATTGAAAGTCGTCCAAAAAAATAAAACTTTGGTGCATCATTTAGTTATGATGTATCATAACCAACCTGAGTTTCAGTACAAAGATAATTTGCTTTTAGCTGCGATTAGAACCGTTTAAACAACCTGAGAATCATCTGAAATATTTTAGTTTATTTATATGGGTTTGAATACTTTTATACAGTGGGGAGAGCTGATTCCTGAGGAGCATTTAATCAGAATATTCAACTTAAATCTGAACTGAAGATTTTCTTAGTAGCAGTTTAAAGGAGAAAATGATCACATGTGAAGTTAAATGGAAAAGTGAGTAGCCAGAACTTTTCCTCCTGCAGCGGAGAAGCTCTGTGGCGTCTTCATGCAGGCCTGAGCAAAGAGCAGAGGGGGTGTTAGAAACAACAGCAGACGGCTGCATCATGTGTGGTGTAGTTGTTACGTAACGGGAAGGAGAATTGCTGATAGGGAACGTGTCCCAGGAGGAAAATCTTATCGTGCACGCAGCAGGACATGTTTCTGGCACAAGGATCTGCCCACAGTCAGCACATATTTCTGTGCATGTGGGTTTGAGGTGTCGGACTCAGGTCCACGGCCTCCACGCTGTGGGCCGTTCGTTACTACTGAGGAGCTTTTTTACGTAACCAGAAACTCAGCAGCTGACTGAAAAACCAAGAGATGAAACACAACGGCTGAAAGGTCTGAAGAGGGAAAAACCTCCTGTGGATTTCCATTTAGCTCCATTATCAGTTCAGGACTTTACGCATACTGAGGAAAAATAAATTTGGAAGGAAACATCCTTAAATAGTTGGTTTATTTCTAAAGAGATACAACAGATAAACATTTAATGTGTAAAATAAGTAGTTTCATCCCTGCTGTCATCAAACTTTTGTTTTATTCTTAGAAATATTTACAAAATAAATCACATTTTTCATCATCTTCATACTTTAAGGTTATGACAAGGCCTTCTTTACCAATATGATTGGTGCAATATTAATTACTTGAAACATCTCCCTGCTCCCTGATTAGAAATAAAAAAAAATAAAAAAAAATTTTAGTTTCAAAATATAGACAGAAAATCGAAATCTGCAAATCAAAAATCGAAGCTGCAGCTGTTTGACTTTGTGCTCTCCATAGTTTTACTAAACTACATTTCTGGTTTTCTGTAATAAAACCTTCAAAAACATGGATGGATGGATGGATGGATGGATGGATGGATGGATGGATGGATGGATGGATGGATGGATGGACGGACTGATGGATAGATGGATGGATGGACAGGAAGGACTTCCTTTAAAACATTAAGATTTTCTCAGATTCAGAAAAGAAATTTCCTGAAAGAAAAGTCTCCTGATTCCAGAACCCGCTGCTCCGTGTTTATACCCTCATCAAAGGCGAGGCTGCTGGCACCGTCAGCCGAGCCTCTGCGTCACATGTTACATGGCTGCGGGGCGCCGTGCTTTAGCACAAAATGTTCTCATGCTCTTTAAAGTCATGCCAACCAGTGCACAGAGTTCACCTGAACGCCTCACTTCCTGTGTTTTTGGACAGGTCGGAACTATCAGAACGCTCCTGCTGTGTGAGCCGAGTCCTGCTGATTTGGACCCACACCATATGTCTGCTTTCAAATACTGCAGAATGTTGATATTATTTCTACCTAGACAGCTTTAAAAGCAGCGTTATATCATTTATAAGGCCACTTAAAGGGCACACAATAAAAATCATGAAAGAAAAGCAACAGATGCAGGGTAAAATGGATGCAATAATAGTAATAATGGGCTGACGTTTCTTCTTTATTACTAGCTTACATGTGAACATGCTTATGGTTCCGTTCTCCACGTTTTTCTGTCTCTATGCTAATATTGCACCTGTCAGCAGAGGCGTTAAAGCGTTGCAGAGCATGTTCTTGCTTTATTATGTAACATGACGGAGGCTACATGCCTTCATCTGGCTAATGGCCACAAAAACAGCAATACCATGAAACAATCATGCTTGGATCTGTAGTGTCAATATTTGGTCAATAAGGTCACATTTAAACACAATATGGGTAGTTTAATATGTACATAACACATATTTCAGAACATTTTCTGGTCATGGGAGTGAATATGGTATTAGAACTTCTTCTTTTTTTTATCTAAAGTAGTAATTTAAATTGTCCCCAATCTAGAAGTAATGTTTAAACAAATATTTTGCCTAATATTTAATTATTTATTTATAGATTATTCCTTTTTTGGTGTGAAAAATGCACATATTTTCACTTTTGTTTTGTTCTTTTTAGATTTGCCTGATGGTATTTTTTTATTTGCCTTTGAAAGTATGGAAACTCAAGTAGAAGCTTCACTTTACTGTTCTCATATGATTTTTGTTTTCATTTTGAAATTAACAACACAACGTTTTGGTTGCAATTCAGTTCTCATTTCTATTTATTCTGCTCTAAAGAAACAGAATAAATAGAATCAGATTTTTTTTTTCCTCATTGTAAACAGTAAAAACAGCAGAGAATAGTAATTTGCTGACATCCAAACCAAAAATGGTAATAAAAACTCACAAGTGTTGATGGATAAATGAATAAAATACCTTTCAAATTCAAGGAGTAATGCAAATTAGAGCTAAAAGCTGCAATTAAAATATCAAATGCTGTAAAAAGCAGGTTAATTATTGCTATTCCCATTAAAAGGTGTCTAAATTGAGCAGATTATTTCAAGGGCGAGTAGTAAACTTTAATACCAGTGTCAGGAAAAGTTCACATTGAGACCTTGCTTCATCAAACTAATGGGGCGCATGTTGTGTAATTCATAACCTTTTGACCTCTGCAGCCACGTGTTATAGATGATTAACCTGCTGAAGCAGCTGAGACTGAGAGGAAACATGACAAAAAACAAAAAGTTCACCACCACAACGTCATCTGCAAATAGATTAACTTTTTCCCTTCCAGTGACCTCAGAGCCGCAGGAACAGCTACTCCCACCCAGAACCCATCTCCCCCTCAGTTCCTGTGATTCAGTTTAGAGGTCATCACCTACATGCCACACAGTCCAGAGAAGCCTGTTCACACACGAGGAATTCATTAGTGCTGCTGTCATGTACTAATTTTAACACAATGTTTTTACTGCCTCCTTCTTTTTTTTTAAACCATAAAAATCTATAAATTCGAGTAAAATCAGGGGTTACAGGGCAATAAAAAAGTATTTTACCCTAAACAAAGTTCTTATTTTTAGGCATGAATTTTCCTATCACTATATACTTCAGACACAAAATATATATTTTTTAAATTATTGTTTCACTGTGCAGGTAGCACTGCTGCCTTGCACCAAGAAGGTTCCGGGTTCAATTCTACGAAGTTCTCCCTGAGTGTGTGTGGGTTCTCTCCAGGTACTCTGGCTTCCTCCCACTGTCCAACAACATGACTGTTAGGTTAATTGGCTTCTCTAAATTACGGTAATAAATCCTTAGATGTGAGTGTGTGTGTGAATGGTTGTTTGTCTCTGTGTTGCCCTGCGATTGACGGGCGACCTGTCCAGGGTGTGCCCCACCTCTCGCCCGTAGACAGCTGGAGCTGGAAACGACAGAAAATAGATGGATTATTACACTTATTTATCCAAACTATCCTATCTACTTTAATAATAAGGCCTGATCACTTCTAGATTTGTAAAAACAGGAAATCACTTAAACAGAACCTAGCTTACAACATGAAGTAGGATAAAATATCCCAGGAAGTAACTTGTCTTGCCCTGAAAAATAGAAAATAGCATTTCAGCCTTGAGGAATCAGGCTACTAGAACAGCAACCTATCTAGGAGGTCAAAGAAGAACACATAAATCTGAAGGACTTTGGAAACTGAACCTTTGATTAGTTTGTAAAAGGCTAAAGAACAGTCATATTTGAATAGTAACCCCAAAGTGAGGTGCTATCCAGAGGTAATCCAAACTAAAGGATTCATATTAGCTTTTGTAGAGTAAATTGGATGATGCTCTTGATCATCCATGCTGGATTCTCCTTATAGGTCTTTAATCTTTTAGTTCCAGTTGAATTAAAACATCTTCATTATTTTGTCTCTGAACAGAGCAAGAGTCCACAGGGCCTGGTGGGTTTAAAGAACCTGGGCAACACGGTAAGCATCATCAAGATAAACCCACTACTTTCTTTCTGGATCCTTTGTAATCTTTCGCTTTTTCTCATGTTGTTTCCAGTGTTTCATGAACTCCATTATTCAGTGTCTGAGTAACACTTCTGAGCTGAGAGACTACTGCCTGAGGAACATCCACCTCATGGACCTCAACAAGAGGAGCAACACAGCCCTCATGAAAGGTAGGACCAACTTCTCAACTCTATATTCTGCAGCTGCTGACGAAGATTCATGATTTCAAAAGCTCTGCATTAAACTTTAGACAGTTTACAGATCGTCTAAGAATCACATGATGTAAAGATCATGTTTTTACAATCGTTCATCTTTATTAAGTCGTTAAATCCAAACTAAATGATGAAGAAAATGGCTTTTTTCTTTTTACAACTCTGTGTGCGCGCAACTATATATATGAAGCTGCATCAGAAAGTGGCAGAAACCCTGTTGCCTTAAATGTGTCATTTTTTTACAACGTCATCTAAGCTGGTGTCACTTTTTTCTGGCACGCTATGGAGCTGACTCAGGTGTCCTCACATGCCCTTGATTTAAGCTGGGAACATTAGATCATCAGACAACGTCAGAGTCGGAGGTTCAATTAAAACAACCTGGGTTTTGCTCCTCTATTTGACTTTAAAGGGTAATGTCAGCTTCTCTGCACTGCAAAAACCATCTAGAAATAACTACAAATTTCTTAAATTAAGTGTATTAACCTTTAACTTGAGTAGGTAAATGAGAGGATCTGCCAATATAATGAGTATATACAAGCAGATTCTGCAAAAGTAGAACTTTTAGGAACACACAAAACAAAATGCATGAATGAGTCTTGTCGACATGAACCTCTGTGAGGGTTATTCATCGAACAGATCCTGGTATGAAATAATGTGGATCCTGTGGAATTTTCTTTAATAACTAAGGGATGCACAGGGATCTGAGATGCTGAAGGAAAATCCTTCTTTGTTACTCTCATTGGTTCTCTTTTTGCTTTAAAAAAGAGGCTAATTGTTGCAGAACCTTGAGGATGATTCCTGCTGTGGTTTCATTTACTTGTGTCTTTTCATTCTAGTTGTCATGTTGGGTTCAAGGCGTCTAACCCACATGCAGAAAAACAGGGAAAAAGTTCAATGATTTATTTACAATATTTACAAAGGAATTGATGCACGGGTTTTGGGTTCTGAGGTCTGGTCACGGGAGGAACACCACTGAGGAGGACAGAGCAGTTAGAATGGATCCAGGAAATTTGCAGTTTACTGATGGTGGGGATAAATACCTGCTCAGAGAGGATTCTGGTCAGCAGGGGGGGGGAACCTTGTGAGTCAAGAGGCTAGTCGGCAGGCAGAGGGCAGAGGCAGAGACTGAGTGTAGGCAGGCAGATTCCAGGCAGAGATTTCTATCTCCAGAGTTTCAGGTTTCCAGGCAAGTCAGGATCTGTGAGGCAGGGAGAAACAGGGTCAGACAGGCAGGCTGGCTCAGGTTTGCTAACCATTACTGGCAAACACTCTGGCAGGGAAGTGTCAGCCTCCTCCTCCTTAAATAGGTCTTCTTAATGAGGAGACAGGAAACAGGTGTGTAGGAGCAGCTCATGCCCTCAGAAAGGAAGATCTCCGGCGCCGTCTGGTGGAGAAAGTGGACAAGCCTCCAGATCCCAACACTAGTGGTCTTAACCATTCTCTCTTTTTCCCGGCTGTAGAGTTTGCAAAGCTGACTCAGAATCTCTGGATGTCTGCAAACAATGAGGCCATCAGTCCCTCTGAATTCAGAAATCAGATCCAGAAATTTGCCCCCAAATTTGTTGGCTCCAAGTGAGTTCCTTTCTTTTTCTGTGATTGAAAGCCTTTCCTTTTTGCAGAAGAAAGTTCTGAGTTCGAATAAAAAAATTCTCTGTCTGCAGTCAGCAAGACGCCCAGGAGTTCCTGCGATTCCTATTGGACGGTCTCCACAGTGAGGTAAACAGGGTGACGATCGGGCGAAAGGCGTCCATGGAGGACATTGATCACCTCGCGTAAGTCAGCTTGTTATGGCAGTTGCTCTGCTAGATCCTATGGAGCAGCAGAATTGTGTGATTGATTGGACTTTGATTTGCAGTGATGACGATAAAGCCAGAAGGATGTGGAACATGTACCTGGAGAGAGAGGACAGTAAAGTTGTGGGTAAGAGTCTCACACCACACAATAGCAACATAACTGCCTTAGAGGAAATAGAAAAGCTAATTTACAATCCATTCATGCCTGCTTTCAGACCTGTTTGCTGGGCAGCTAAAAAGCTCTCTGACCTGCACAGTCTGTGGCTTCCGGTCCACCGTGTTTGAGCCGTTCTGGGATCTGTCCGTACCTATCGCACAGGTGAGAACAAACACCAAAAGCCTGATTCTGTTTCACGCAAAAAACATCTAGAAATAAGTAAAAAAAAAAATTTTATTGAGTGTATTTATCCTTAATTTTAGCAGATAAATAAGATACTTTGCCAATGGAATGAGTATTTTTACTCCTTAAATAAGATAATTAGATAATATGCACTTGAAATAAGACAAAGCAATTGTTTTTTTTCTCATTTTAAATGTAAATTGTCCTGTTTCATTGGCAACGTATGCCATTTACCTCCTCAATTCAAGAAAAAATGCACTTAATTTAAGCAAAAATGACTCATGTAGATTTCCATTTTTTGCTGTGTTCAATCCTCCCATTGTACAACGGAGTATTACGGCCAGGTTAGAGATTTTTTTTGTTTTGTTTTTGAGAATAAAGTCGTACCATTACGAGAAAAACATTTGTAATATTACGAGAATAAATTTGTAACATTACAAAAATGAAGTCCTCATACAAAAACCTATTTTAGAAAGAAAGCTTCAAGCTCTGACCAGATCCACCAATCAGCAACCTGAGTCCTCTTTGACTTTCTGCCCAATTTGATGCTGCTGTGCTAAAAGATTTCCTTATTTGTCAAATCAGAGCCAAAGTATAACTTCACATAATTCTCCACATTCCTCATTTTATGAAGAAAGTGCTTCTTGTAAGAATTACCATGAAATATAACTTGTTTCTCGTAATTTTAGGACTGAATTCCCTTAATATTACGACCTTATTCTTGGAATTTTATGAATACATTTCCGTAATTTTATGATTTTTATTCTCGTAATGTTACGACTTTATTCTCGAAATAGAAGAAAAAAAATCTCTAGCTTGGCCCTAATACGTCGTACTAGTGTTAGACTCTCATACTACGTTCACACCGGACGCAGCAGGCGCGGCAGAAGCAGCGAGTTTACATGCAAAGTCAATGGTTGACGCGCGTAAAGGCGCAACAAAAGGTCCCGCAGCGCGTTTTGAGCAGCAGGCGTGACGCGCTGCAAACGCGCTGCTGCTCGAGATGGAAAAATGTAACTTTTGCTGCTCGACGCGCCGCGTCAACCAATCAGAGAAGCTGATCTGGGAGCTGGCAGGGAGACAGACACATCGCTGATGACACAGAGCGCTGTGATCACTCCTCTGAAACAGTTTATTGACGCATAAATTAACTTAAAATGCAGAAATCTGCCGGCAGAATATGTTCGCTTTATTATCCTGGTGCCTGCAGTTTAGACTATTTAGATGAAAAACACCTACCAGCCGCCGCGGTGAACCGTGAGGAGGTGACCGGGCCAGAGGCTGCTGTTGAAGGGGATCCTACTGACAGCGCACCGCTGGTATGTGGGGGTCTGAGCGGCTCCGACAGAAATAACATTAGAAGGCAGGATGTTAATCTGGATGAACTGACTGCAGTGATTAAGTTTTCAGGTGGATTTTCTGACTTAAAAACATATTAAAACTACTTTATTCCCACTGATCACAGCAAATATAGCTGCAAGGCAAAGAAAGGATAGAGTAGCTCCGCCCAAAGCGCGTCAGACACACTTTTGCACCGCGCAGCCAGAGCAGCAAAGCTGCTTCAGCCGCGCGTCAGAACTAACTGGTACAAGCAGTAAAAATGAAGCAGCAGACGCGATTTTGCTGCTCTTGCTGCGTCCGGTGTGAACGTAGCATCAGAGGGCAAAAAAAGAATTAGGTCTGTTTGAAAATAATTTGACCCCTTGATTTAAAGATTGTCCCAATCATACAGCAGCAGCCAGCCGAATGGCAGCCAACTTCCAGCCACTGGAGTGACCCCCTCCTTCTCCGGGGGTGCATATTTTTTTACTCTGACTCCCGCCTTTCATTGAATTCATGGGTCTGACCAGGAGATGATGCTTCTCTTTAGATCTTAATGTCCACAAATCATGACAGAAAGGATATTTTAGTACAAAGATTAATGTTTAAAAATGAATTGTAGGGGACCAGCCAAGGGCCCATCAAGGAAAGCAGGGACATTTTGACTGGCTACTACTATATAAGCTACTACTATATAAACCCAAGATTGTATAAATCTGTTTTCTGAGTGGATTTTTTTCTGTTTATTGCAGAAGAGCTCTGGGGAAGTGACGCTAAAAGAATGCTTGAGACTTTTCACAAGAGAAGATGTGCTTGACGGAGAAGAACGACCGGTAATAGACCTCAAATTCATCTGTTTAGATATTTCATGCATTGATAAGTCTGCCGAGAGATTCTCACCGCCTCCACTGTGTTTGTTTCCTTCTCAGACGTGCAACAAGTGCAAAGCCAGAAGAAAATGTACAAAGAGGTTCAGCATCCAGCAGTTCCCACAGATTCTAGTGCTTCGTATCCTTTTTTGCTTTCACTTATGTAGCTTCAAGACACATTAAACTTATGTTAATTCAGCATCCTTGTAATCTACAGTTAGTTACTGTATGCATCAGTGCTAGGTAAACACGACAAGGTAATAGAGCATCCTTACAGTGGGCATCTGCTTATTGTGCACTAAACCTGTATCTGCATGTAAACAAGAGGTGTGATTTAAAAAAAAATCCTAATAAACATAAAACGTACAAGACATACATCCAGTGTGAGATTTAAATAAAAGAGATGATTGTTTCATTAATGAATCCAAACTATTATGATGTTCTGGTAGCTGCGGCTATAGAGAAAAAAGTGACATGAGATTATATGCCTTTAATGCCTTTTGCACCATGTTTTCCTTTCTCCCACACTGTTTACATTCAATCATTGCTGCACTTTAGCAAATGGAAATGTTCATTTCACTCCTAAAGTGCTTCTTGTTCAATTTCTGACGATAAAAGGTGTCTAAGTATATAAAATAACACTTAGCTGCCTTAGACGGAGATATCCTTATTTCCTTCTTCTCAGTTAGATTCAGGAATTTCAGCTCTACCAAATTGTCTTAATAACATTTATTTTCTATATGTTAAAGTTCCAAAAGTCAAGCCAGATCAGTGCGTTTCCAGAAAAACTGCATTATAAATATGGGCCAAATAGCTTGGTGATTGCAGGCTGCAGGATATGTATTGAATATTTGTCCTTTTGAGGCAGTTTTTGCACCTTGACTCTGCCTTTCAGACCTGAAGCGTTTCTCAGACACAAAGGTCAGAGCGAGCAAACTTTCCACCTACGTTGACTTTCCTCTCAAAGATCTGGACCTACGAGAGTTTTCAGCGCCTGGCGGCGGTGAGTATTTGCTAAAACAGGGATGATTAGGGTTTAAATTACGCGATGGATCATTGGCTGAGCGTTGTGTCGTCTCTTCCTGCAGAGCGTCCTGTATACAACCTGTATGCCGTTTCCAACCACATCGGGAGCACCCTGGGAGGCCATTACACAGCCTACTGCAGGAACCCTGTACTGGGAGAGTGGTACAGCTACAATGACTCCAGGTATCAGATCTCACGTCATCGAGTTACTTTCATGTATCACCTTATCAGATGAGCAGAAAGGATGTCATGAAGCCCTGGCCTTATGTTGGATGAGAATGACTTCATTGTTGCTGTAAAACTCTAAAGCAGCTTAAATTTTACGACCAAATAAGGCTCATGCTTGTGTTTATAACCCTGTGGGTTTGTCTGCGTGTTTTTACAAGGTCTAACAAAGGCCCAGGTTAACGCTTGTTCTCCATGTTCTCTGCAGGGTGAGCCCCATGTCCTCCAGCCAGGTGCGCAGCAGCAACGCTTATGTTCTTTTCTACGAGCTGTCCAGCTCCTCGCACGGGAAATACCAGACGTGTCGGCTGTAGATGGTGAAACAGAGAAATGGACTGCATTCGACTGAGCCTTAAAACATGGACGCTTCTTTCAGAGAGAGAAATAGCTCCATCTAGTGGAGCTATATATCTAAAGAAGGAGCAAAAAGCCGATATGTTGAAATGACGAGCTGGATGAACAGCAGAAAATCATAAACCCAGCTTCCGGAAAAGCTTCTCCAAAAGGGTCAAACTGAAGAAAAAGATGTTTTTACAGACATTTTTGTAACCCCTCCTTCTCTCTTTCTCTTTCATTATTTATGAATCATCTTTAACAACATAGTTGAAAAGATCAAATTTATTATATTTAATTAATTATACTGTTTTCATTTAATATATTTGACTCAAGTGAAGGTAAAAGGATGTTTTTAAGTGATAACGATAATATTTTTGTACAGTATTTATGGACAGCAGAATAAATGAAATGTGACTTAGGCTCTCAGCTGTGGAAGACAGCTGGTATGATGTTCCTGACTTTACATCCAGAGTCTGTAAATGATTAAAACATGTCACTAACTAACGCGCTGTCATGTGTTTGTTGAATTTAACCATTGTTTGTTCATTGTAGACATTTATAGCTCATTGAAGAGCCGCATCCACAATTCATTATGAAGCAAACCAGGGTTAAAATAGAATAACCTTCGGGAATTACTGGGTAAAATGTTAATTTTCCATCAATATTTATTCTCAACAATTTATCCATTTTCAATAAATTGTTTTCTGGAATATCTGGGTTTTATCCTGAAACATTATTTATAGTCAGATTGGACTAAATCGGAGTAACGATAATGTCTGCTGTGTTTTACAAAAAAAATTGCTAATAAATTTATGTGTATAGCTTAGCACTAGCTCATAGTAGATATATTCTAAATTACATTATAAGATACCCAGTTACACATGTGTTGTCTTTATGTCAAAGTGGATACTTTTTTATGCTACGAAGTAAGTGTGTCTTAACTTGGGGACTTTGTAAAAAACTTCTCCCCAAGAGGTTTTTCACTCTGAAATATTTTGGTGTCTTATCAAGCGCAGGGAAACATAAACAAGCCAGAAAAGGTCATACAGCAGGACGTTTACATATCAAATAAGCGCCACACCTGTTCTCTGCCCTCCCCTTGTACCAATCTCTGTCTCACTCAGTAGATTAGCAAAAGAGGAGCCAAAAGATGACTGAACTAATTTATACTGTTAACTGAAATAGAATAAACAATATTTTTAAATACAGTAGTTTTAACTCTTTCAACCTTCGTCTTGGCTCTGATGGCTGGGTTTGGCTCTTTTCTCCAATCTTCTTAGCTCCGCCCAGCGTTCATTTTCACTCATCAGATTCACCTGTTCCTGCTTTGTATTTAATCCACCTGTTTCCAGCCATTGGTGCCAGATTATTTGATCTTTGAGTTTCTGATTACCTGATCCTGACTAGTCTCTGCCCCTGGAGTTTTGGTCGCCCCTGTTCAAAAAATAATAATTGAATTTTATTGATCTCACATTGTAGAAATTAACATCTGCATTCAACCCATCCCCTTGGGGAGCAGTTGGCTGCAATTGTAGGGTGCCCAGGGAGCAAAGTGTGGTTATGGGTTGTGCTCAGAGACCCAAAGTGGCATTCAGTGGGAGTGGGGCTCAAATAAGAACCTCAAGATTCCAACCTCTAAGACAAGGGTGCGTAATTCCAGTTCCTGGGGGCCGGTATCCTTCAACTTTTAGATGTGCCTTTGGTTCAACACACCTGAATCAAGTAATTAGTTGATTGAGAGGACTTGTGAGAAACTGACTGCATACTGAGCAGGTAACTCAGCCATTTGCTTCAGGTGTGTTTGATAAAGGAAGGATGTAAAACCTTCAGGATACCGGCCCTCGGGAACTGGAATTGCCCACCCCTGCTCTACTAGCTAACTACTAGGCCTCCACTCCATGTTCTGATCTGTTCGGCACCTCTTTGGACTTCTGATCTTCTGGCCTGGAAACCTGTTCCTGCTTCAACTCTGCCTTCAGATTTTCCCTCCGGATTCTACTGCTCCTCTGGGTGCTCCTGCTTCTGCTCGTCACTGCTCTGCTTCTCTCCTGGAACTCTGGAAGCCGCTTGAACCACAAGCTTCATAGAAACAATCCCTACGGACGTCACTCCGTCTTCTGGGCTCAGACTAAACTCAGGTTAGTGACTCACACGCTCATTAGTGTTTCCCGTCTGCTTGAATTCTGGGTCCTATATTCTGAGCTTCTGACAAAAAAAGGTCAATATAAAATCTAAATAAGGCTTATAAACCATTCAATGTAAGTCTAACTGAAAGATATTAGGGATACCATCCATCTTCTGACATGCTTTATTCCAAGTAGGGTCGCAAGGTGCCAAACTCCAGCTGTCTACGGGTGGGAGGCGGGGTCCACCCTGGACAGGTTGCCAATCCATCGCAGGGCAACACAGAGACAAAAAAAAACATTCACGCACACACTCACTCAATTTAGAAAAGCCAATTAACCTAACATTAACCATGTTTTTATACTGTGGGAGGAAGCTGGAGTACCCAAAGAGAACCCACACATGCTCAGGGAGAACATGCAATCTCCATGCGGAAATTCCAGGCCAGGAATTGAACTCACAACCCCCTTGCTGCAAGGCAGCAGTGCTACCCACTGCGTCGCTGAGCAGCCCCCACTCTTGATGTTCTTGCTTACCTCTCCTTACATTGTATCTGTCATTATCATTGTATATTTCTTCTGGCAATCGACCACTATCATGTTTGTATATTGTTGTGTTTTGACTTTGCAAGTCATAGGCTTATCGACACCAACATTCACCTTACTGGCGGAATTCTTTATATCACTGACCAGTAGATTGTATAACGTTTATACAATATAATGAGCAAAAATGTATTTTCTCAAGTGACAGCAATAATCTTCCGTAAGATTGAGCTATTTAACCAGCACTTCCTAACTATGAGTTTGAGGGCCTGATATGTAAGCAGACTTTGTCTGCCCCCTGTTGGCTCAAGGGAATTATACAGATATTCAAATAGGAGAATTTCAATCTGTTAAGGTGCAAATTATTTTGCCTTTCATTCTCAGGACTTTGCCTCCTTCTTTAAATATGTAGATTCTTACTGGACTTTATTTTTAAGATTTATTAAGGTAGCCAGTATTCAATTAACTAATTTTCATTAAAACCTAAAAATACTTTTCACTGTCAGATAAGAGGCAGATGTGAGGCACAAATAACCAACCTAATGGAGAAGTTATTTCCTTTTAAGTCGGGGTCAAATGTGATTAAATGAAATTAGCTGTTCAGGATCTTTGATATGATCCGACTTAGATCTTTTAAAATAGGAAGTTGAAACACCTGACCTCCTAAATTCTCAGCAAATGGATGTTTTAGCCTTTTATCCTTGACTACAGCTGCTTTGTTGCATTCTTCTCTTGTGATCTTTGTCTTTGCCAATGTCTTCCCACTCTCACTGGATGAGAAGTAGTGCAGGTGCACAACACCAATACCAACTCTAGTCTTTCATGTATTCTTTTTGGCAGATTAAAATCTTGGTTTATCTTGCATTTGGGTCCTTACAGAGCAAAACACATCCCAGCCCTATCTTATTACATTTATATGGTAAGCAAAATATTAATTGAATTCCCGTCCCCCCTGCAACGGATTGGCAGATCACTAGGGGGTAGTAGTACCCCTGGTTTGGAATCACGGCCTATTGCACAGTTAGCTAGTACAGGATGCTCAGAAAGCAGCAATTTAGACTCACTAAAATCTCCCTGCTGCAGCCATGTCTCTGTTTATCCTGTTTATGTACGTAAAAGCTAACATAAGCTGTTCTGCCACATCATGCTCACAATCTAGCATTTGCAAGGCGGCAACAGGAAATGGCCAGAGTTGGTCATTTAAAACCTGCTGGTTTTTACTGTGGAGGTTTATGGTCTATTTTTGGTTAATTGGTAGATAACTGAGGTGACCGTGTTCAGCAATTTATAGCAGTTGTCTTGTAGAAAAGGGTTCTTTAGTTTCCACCAGAGAAGCTGCTATGTCTGAATCCATGATTTTTGTGGGAATGTTCAAATAGACGTCCATCCATCCTGTATATTATGTAAAATTTATCCTATTTTTAATTGCTTTTCTTGTTCTTGTACCTTATTGATTATAAAACTGGCCCCAAACTACACTGTGCTACCATTACAGAGATATGAGGTAATCAGGGGAGTTTAGATAGCCAAGATATTTTTATTCCTCTACAATAAATTATGATTATGCCGTTCAAAGTATCTTGATAAAAAAAAAAACACACACACACACACACATTGAAAATAACATTTGACAGTAACTATATCTTTTTTTTTTTATTTTACAAATCAAAAACCATCAAGGTACTGTTTTTTCTGTCTCTTTTCTTCTTTTGGCAAAGGAGGTTAATGTTTATATATATCCATCTCAACTTTTTGAGATGCCCACTGGTTGGAGTGTAGGTTAACTTGGAAAAAGAAATGAACGTCCACATTTCACCCTTTGGTTGGTGTTAATCTCATACTTTGTTGGTGTACTTCAGCAGACCGTAGACACCACCACCTGTAACACAGTTAAAATATCTATATCAGAGATATAGTGTTTAGTCCAATACGTTCATATAGACAGAACTTTACATACCACTTTAGCAACAAATCTGACAACAAAGTCCACATTTTAACCCCCTTAACGGCCATTGTTGCAAATATGCAACCGACCCTTTGTATTGCATTCAAAGGCAAGATAACATCAACATTCCCTCAGTGCCAGTTATTACACATTAGGTGTGAACCCAGGAACATTTGACACACTTTTTTCCCTTACAACTTGTCCCTGATGGTGTATGTTGTATTTTAAACTAGAAATGTTTTCACAATTTTCTTATATGCCTATATTTCTATTTATTATGAAAATAAATGGAAAGGTAAAAAAAAAAAAAAATCAATTTGGCAGCTACATAAAGGCTAAAAACTGATTTTCATAGATATATATATTTTAGTGTTGGGCCATTACCGGCCTTAAAGGAATAGTACACCCAAAACATGATTAGCCTTCATTTTCTACTCACCCCCATGCTGAACAACACTCTGGAGTACTTTTTTGATATCTCAAATGCATCTGGAGATCTGGGAGGCTTCTTGCTGTCTGCTGACATTCAAATAATGGAGGTCTATGGTGCCCGAGACAGAAAGGTCCATAAAAGTCCACAAAAAACGTGTCAATATTCCTCCATACTGCTCGTCCAATGTATTCCAAGTGTCCTGAGTGGGTAGCATCCAGAATTGACTCGAAACGAAGTCATTTAGAATGTTTTTAGAGCATAAACAGTAGTGTATAGGATTTCCTGAAAGCGCGCGCTTGCAAGTTCACGACGCTACGGAAGCCGGCAGACCAAACCAGATGAAAGTGCGCATTCAGCGTCTGCTCTGCCAATAATGCAAGCGTAGAAGAAGAAATGTGCTGTTTACCTGTGCAAAGAAAGAAACAACGAAAGAAAAATGTCTGAGGACTTCAGTGTTGAGGAAGATCATGAGTTCTTTGCTGAGCTGAATGCGCACTTTCATCTGGGTTGGTCTGCCGCGGTTTCCGTAGCGCTTTCAGGAAATCCTATACACTACTGTTTATGCTCTAAAAACATTCTAAATGACTTTGTTTCGAGTAAATTCTGGATGCTACCCACTCAGGACACTTGGAATACATTGGACGAGCAGTATGGAGGAATATTGACACGTTTTTTGTGGACTTTTATGGACCTTTCTGTCTCGGGCACCATAGACCTCCATTATTTGAATGTCAGCAGACAGCAAGAAGCCTCCCAGATCTCCAGATGCATTTGAGATATCAAAAAAGTACTCCAGAGTGTTGTTCAGCATGGGGGTGAGTAGAAAATGAAGGCTAATCATGTTTTGGGTGTACTATTCCTTTAATGGCTGCATCAACGCCAGACTCTTATCGGGGAAAAATATATATATATCACAGTTAATCTATTCTCCCAGTTGGGTTGGGAGCTGGGTCTATACTAATGATGACCTTTACCTTGATATTTTAGCGCCGTGTATATCTGGGGGTGCGAACAAATCGATATTTCAACCTTTGTGGGAGCATTTTGAATTGAAAAAGCTTCCTGGATGGGAAGCAAAACGTCTTCAAACTTGGAAATTTGAAATAGATTGGGTTTTTTTTTAATCTTTTTTTTAAAATAGTTGTTAGGTTTTATTATTTATACATCATGTGCACTGTTAATTTGTTAGTCGGATTAGACAGATCAGAAGGCCTTCCTTCACATTGTGGATATCACGGTGTGTACGGAGGTCATCTAATCAAGACAGCCTTCGTGTCTTTAAGAGTACACAGGATATGGGCACATCTTGGAGCCGGTCTGATAGGAGAGCTGCTGTATCTGTAACCCTGAGACAGAGAGGCAACCTGCATGGAGTTCAAGACATGGATGGCGTGTCAGTTTCTGATACGGACAGCTAAGCATCCACATGATGCAACACAGACTCAGAAGGTATAAGAAGCAGGTGATGACGTTGTTCGGGGCTCAAACTTTGCCGGACGCTTGCGGACGTGATTTTTGAGACCACAGCTGTGCATAGCTCTAAGCATTTTTCTCTGTCCTGTAACGACCTGATCTGGAATAAACTCTGTTACTTTTTACTCCTGTTTTTATAGTCCTTTTTTATATGGTTTTACCGAGTTTGAGTTAAGAGTAGTAAATAACTTGCTCCCAGGAAAAGAACCGGTGAGGAGGCCCCCGGGGCGCTACAGCCTTTACTTCCAAGGGGACAAATCCTCCTCACTTTAACATAACTGTGTAGGCCTACTGTGAAATTACCACTTTGAATGTGATGTGCTGTTGGAGCCTCTTAAGAATTAGATTAATTTCTTTTTGCTAAATTACAAATGTAACAGATCTAAGGTTATGTTGTTTATTTCTTATTTGATATCTTTTTATCTTATTTGAGCCTCTTCCCCGTTTAGTCCGCCTCCTGCTGTGATTAACAAGCAGAAGCTGCTGCTGTGGTTGATCTGATTGTCTGGTGATGGAGTGAGGAGTGAAGTCGTTTTTCTACCACTAATTAAGGTTTTCACACAAGTAATTTCACACAAAATAAGCCACCATTACAAACCTGGTCTGTAGTTTTACGGTGAACTTGGAGATTATTTCTGTTCTTTTTATAAGTTAAAAAAAACCTCTGAAACCAGAAAACTCTGAGTACTTTTTATTTTTGAGTGACTCGAAAAGCTCCTCCCAAAACTACTCTGGCATTTATTTCATTTTTGGGGACCTATTAATTTGCAAGAGTAGCCGTAAACAGTAGTAAAAAGTAGTAAAATCAGGTGATTGGGTTTATGAATGAAAGCGCCGCTCTGCTGCAGAGAAACAAATGATCACAACAGAAAGCAAAGTTGTTGATTTTGGAAAAGGATTTTGGCAAAGAAGGATGTTTGTTGGTGAACTTTTTTGAAAGTGAAGGGATCTGTGTGATCATTTATGATGTCTGACCCTGAAACTCCACCTGCATCTGAGAACATTTTAAACATGGATGCAGCTATAAAGACGCCAGATTTTCTTCATGGAAAATGTATTGAAAAGGGTTATTATTTAGGTAGTGTACACATACCGTGTGGCAGAATTCAAATAACCGATTTAAATCTAGATTAATCTAGATTAATTCCAAGATTACAGTAAGATTAATCTAGGTTTAAAAATTGATATATCCCCACCACTAATATATAACATATAATTATTTTTTTTTGTATATATATGGTTGGATGCTTTAATATCATGTTACAGAGCCACCCTCACATTGCAAATAGATTCTGTAGTTATACTTAACAAGTGAGAGCGAGGATGGTAAGACTACGTATGTTGTCATACTCACCCACTAGGCCCAGCCCAGCAATCGTGCCAATGGTGATGCCTGCTATGGCTCCTCCTGACAGTCCTTCTGGTGAAGGTTGTTGGGTCGAGTTCTCAGTAGTTCTTGTAGTAGTTGGATCGATTGTTGCTGTTGTGGGTGAATCAGTTGAGATTGTAGAGGAGGAAATATTTGCTGCTGGTGTGTATGAGGCATTTGTGGTTGTAGGAGGTGTAGCCGTTGCGGTTGTAGAAGGTTTTGCAGTTGCGGTTGTAGGAGGTTTTGCAGTTGCGGTTGTAGGAGGTTTGGTAGTTGGGGTTGTGGGAGGCTTTGTAGTTGTGGTTGTAGGAGGTTTGGTAGTTGGGGTTGTAGGAGGTTGTGCAGTTGCCGTTGTAGGAGGTTTGGTAGTTGGGGTTGTGGGAGGCTTTGTAGTTGTGGTTGTAGGAGGTTGTTGTTGTAGGAGGTTGTGCAGTCGCGGTTGTAGGAGGTTTTGTAGTTGTGGTTGTGGGGGTTTTAGTTGGAAAGGTGGTAGTGGGTAAACTGGACTGTGCATGGCACAGGAGTACTGAATCAATAAAATAGAGAAGAGAAAAGGGTTGAAACAGTATGATTAAAAATGCACACAATAAGACATTATTATAAGATTAATGAATTTATATAAATTATCAAATTAATATGGTTGCCATATTTTCATGCAGCCGTTCATGAAATAGATGCACTGCACAATTTAAGTTAGTTTTATATTTCATTTTTATCTCAACCTGAACAGAATATAAACCACCTTAACACATTTCATTTTATTGACTTCCCATAAATTACTCCTGTTCCTTTCCAGTCAGTTGTAAAGAATGATCAGCCAAGTTATACGAGTGAATCAAAGGGAAGGTAAATAAAAGCTGATAATTGTAACATAAACTGAAATCATTTCTATGGTAACATGTTACTGCTATCTTTTCATATTAGCATCTGCCTGCTTTAGGCACATTGTCTGCTTACCTAAAAACTTAAAAAACTTTGTGTTTATTATTAATGGAGTTTTTTCTTTACCTGTACCCATAAAGCAAAGTGCAGTTAAACAGAGATTAGCTCTCATTGTCCTCATTGTCCTGGCCACAGAACCAGGGATGTCTGAGTTGAAACTGTCCTGTTGGATACAACAAAACATACAAATAAGGAGCAAGTTCTTTTTACATCCTATCAGAGACGGGGAATGGATGAGCATTGGTGATAAATCAGATTTTTTATTTTGTTTTTTTTAAGAATACTATATCTAGATCAGGGGTCTGCAAGCTTTCATGACCAAATAACAATTTAAGTCTGAGTCCAGCTAATTTAAACTAATTTAGAGCCGCAAAATATTACATGATTTTTTTTTTTATATAAAAAAAAAAAATGGAGCTAAATCAGTCTCAACTTTCACAAATTCACATATGTGATTCATGCATGGACAGTAAAAGCTCCACACACACAACACAATTAACACAAGAGTACAAGATTTACACATGCACAGCACATGATTTGCCAAAGTATTTAAGGCAAGGCAAAGCAAATTTATTTGTATAGCACAATTCAGTACAAAGACAATGCAAAGTGCTTTACATGATTAAAATACAGAAAGATAAAACAGAATCAAAGCAAGTAGGAAAAAATAAATAAAATAAAATAAAAAATGTAGAAACAAAAAAGAATATTAAAAACAGTTGGACTAAAGAAAATATGTTTTGGTTGAACTGTTTAACTAGAACATTTGAAGGCAATCCTAAACAAATGTGTTTTTAGTCTTGATCTAAAGGAACTCAGGCTTTCTGCACTTTTACAGTTTTCTAGAAGTTTGTTCCAGATAAGTGGAGCATAGGAACTAAATGCTGCTTCTCCATGTTTAGTTCTGGTTATAGGTATGCAGAGCAGGCTGGAGCCAAAGGTCACATATATGTATTGTGAAAATTGAGACTTATTTGGCTCCATAAAATAACAACCTATTATTTTTATTAAAGATCTGCTATAAGAAATCTGTTGCCATTTTAAATAACCAAGAACTTATTTGGATTCTTTTCAAATGAGGAAAAACATAAAACAATTCATATAACTGAAACATGGATTTTTTTTTAGTATTATTTGATAATAAAAAATAAAAAAAAGTTAATAATAAAACACCTTGTTTCCAATTTAATTAAAGGAAAAATAGCTCTAACAACATATTTCTGGTGCTTCCAGATATTTTCTTATAAAACCCACAAAAGTGTGTAAAACTGGCATTAAATCTTATTATTCATTATTTAGTCATTTATATCATTTTTAGACGCCAATTTAGAGGGTCCAAAGAGCCACATGCGGCTGTGGAGCCACAGGTTGCAGACCCCTGATCTAGTATAAATCATCAGAAAATACAGCCGTTCCTTATCAGATCTCAAAACTAAGAATATTAATCACTGGGAGGAAAATAGTTGGAGGAAAAGTTTCGATTTTAGAGAAAAGACTCACCTGAGAGGATAAGGATGTCTTTATTTTCCTTCAGATTGAGATGCTCTCTTTATATGATCCTTTTTTATAACCCTCCCATAAAGGCGTGAGCATTTCTTCATCTGGGTCAGGCTGATGAAAAAGTAATGTTTGAGATCTAATTTTTAAAAACTAAGGGCCGGATTTATCAAAGGTTTGCGTGTATTAAAACGTAAGCTATTTCACTGCGCACGCAAAAAAATGTACAAACTGATCTATCAACAGCGTGCTAAAAGGATTTGGTCTTTAAAATGTGCTAAATAGCGCCTCTTATCCATTTAGTACTTTTTCTGCAATGAATATGCAATATGGGGCGTTTACACGCAAAAGTGCGTCTTGTGGGAGGAGAACATGTAAATATATTAATTTAGCACTCGCAAAGTGATTTATCAAACCTGAAAGCAATTTTGCTAACGCTATCTGACTCTATATTTAACACGTTTCAAAAGAAGGTGCAAATGGTCTGTATGCGTAATTGCGCACACATGGCAGCGGTTATTGTCGCAAGAAGGAGACATGGAAATGAAGCAAGGAGACGCAGAGAACGCATTTTTTCACTCCGTGTGAATATTTTTGGAATGAACGAGGAAACGATCATCAAAACATATCGTTTATCCAGCATTGCCATTTTGGAGCTGCAATTCCAGTGATTTGCTCCTCACAGAGCGTCAGCTGTACTTGTTCCTCAATGCTGGTCAGAGGCATCTCATCTACTGTGCCCCGTCCTGTTTTGTTCGCAGATGTTTTGTTATATGCCAGTTTTTCTTTGGTTCGCCTTCTAATATCCTGGTATCTTCTTTATACTTCATCCACTGTTCGCAAGGTTTCACCAACAGCGTTTTCTTTATTACAGATTTGTTCACATATATCGTTCCTCTGTGTGACAGTCACAATTTTTTGCTGTAGCTCACTTAAATGTTTGTTGGCTTCATCCACCAACACCTCCATTTCCATGGGGTCGAATTTCCTTTTGCGCTTTCTGCTGTCCAAACTCGCCATGCCGCAAACCACCAAACGCGCAAAACCATCATTTAAATAGGGCGTCTCCAACAGTTTTGCACCTGCCACCAGTTACGCAATCGCTCTTGTTAAATCACCCGCAAACCATGGTTCAGCCCCTCGCGCAAAATTCCAGTTTGCGAGCGCAAATTACTGCACGCAAAATTGGATCTTGATAAATCCGGCCCTAAGACTCTAATGTTAGTTTTTTTTTTTTTTATGAGATTTGTAGCTCAAATATCATAAAATATATAACATCTTCTTGAGTAAAATACTGTAAAATAATTATTCAAGCTTCCTGTTCATAAAACTTCATTGAATCTCAACTACAGATAAAGATCTACTAGTAAGTAATCGGTGTCAGTTAATAAATAATCTTTTGTGCAATGAGGTAAGTATGCTGAAAGTGCTTCTATTTATTATTTCCTTGTTCAGTTTTGATATGAAATCTGTGATATTTTTTCATCTCCTTTTTGGTTGATTTCTATTATTAAAGAAGAACAAATCCTGGTCGTGCTTGTTGTGACTAAACTATGATAAAGACTGAAGTTTAACAAGGAAATAAGTAACTCTCTCCTTGTCCAGTGACATCACCTGAGGATGATGATAAACCTCTGGAATTACAGCTTTTCCAGGTTACCAGGAAGAATCTGGGCTGATGATGTCATATGAAGCCCTTCAGTCTGTTAAAGGAACCATTTTACTGGCGTGTTAAGTTTTAAAGATGATTTCAGGCAGCGCTGGCTGAGGCTGAGATTTAATTAAAATCTATAAAACTGATTGGGATGTTTTCATTGGTTACATTTTCTGTGACATAATTCAGAAAAAAGAAACATAAATGATAAGTGGTGGAACGAAGTACTCAACAGTAGTACTTGAGTAAAGGTAATTTGTGCTGGTGGTCCTCAGTTATCCAGGTCATAGTCATTCCAAAAAAAAAAAATTACTTGCAAACAGAGATTTAAAAACGCAGCCTGCAATCGCAGTCTAACAAAAGAAGCCAAACGACCCCCATTCCAAATAACCCCTTCGTCTGTTCCAATTTGCTTTCCAAAACAGGGCTTTGTTAGGCTACTGTATAAAGCCTTGAAGTCATTTTGAATTGAAAAAGCTTCCTGGATGGGAAGAGAAACATCCTCAAATTTGGAAAACAAGTCCAGCGGATTGTTTTTTTTTGTTGTTTTTGGAATGAGTAAAGGTTTTGATACTCGCAATCAAATCTTACTCAACTTCCAGTAAAAGTTACTCAGTCTATAATCTACTCGAGTTAAAGTGTTGAAGTACTCACTTTTGAAAATACTTAAAAGTATAGTGGAGGATTTTCTTTTTTTGGGTGAATCATCAAAATAAGTGGTCCTCCTAATTGTCAATCATTCTGGTGATATGTTTACCTAAGGTTGCCTCCATTTTATCTTACCGGTGGTAAGTCTGACATAGTGGAAAAATTGCTAATCTTCATTTTGGAAAGTAAGCTTGTATGACCGATGCAAACAGCAACTTTAAAGTGCACAAGGCAAAATGAGCTCATGCACGCCCTCGCATGAGTTTAATAGGGGTTCCCTCTCACGAGCGGCAAGAGGGTTGTGCATGTGCATTTTCTTTTAAAAGCGGGTCTTTTCAAAATCCCACGTAAGTCCTCAACTATACCTTAAAGTATTAAAAAGTACATGCATTTTAAGTATTCTTAAATACAAATTACATTTTCTAATATCAGTACATTTCTGTATAATTTTCAGAGTAATTTTAACTTTCAGAAACCACCTGATGAACGTAGAACCACCTGCTACAGACTCTACACCACTTGTAAAGAACTTCAGAATACAAAATGCCAAGAAATAAAACAAGGAGAGCTATATTGATCTTTATTCATTATTGAAAAACCAAAAAGAAAGGAGTAGCTTCCTGATTCTTCTCACACTTTCACTATTGAATTGAGGTTTAAGGTTGAATCTATTTCCACAAAGAAACTATAACTCTGCTTTGAGAACTGATCCTGCTGAACAACTTGGCCACATGGCAACAACTAACGCCTTAATAAAAAAGCATAAACTACCAATAATATAAGCCCTGACTTTCTAACATTTGTGGAGAGTCATGCAAATTTCAAAACGTCTTCCATGTTGAAATTTTATTTGAAGAAAGAAAAACAGCAGCAGCAGATTACAAAGCTAAGCTAAAAGGAACAAGGAAGTAGTTTTCTGAAAATGGAGTGGAGTAGAAAGTACAATATTCCACTTGTGGATCGAAGTCATAAGTTATGTATTGAAGTAAAGCTTTTTTGCTTAAATTTTTTCCAAAAGCAGTGTGTCCCTGCAGTGCTGAGTAATTTAAATTATTCTGTTGACAAGCCGGGGCTGATGCCACTGAAAAACACAATCAGACATTCGTAGGAAAGGGAACTAAATCTCCATCTGAAATGTTTTTAAATGTTTGCTGTCACCTAGTAGATGATCTAGATTATAAAGAAGTTACAAAATCGCTGGAGAAAAAAAATGGTGTGAATGGGGAATTTTTTATTATATTGTATAATTATTTATATTAAAATATATATCTACTCCGAGATGTAAGCGGCAGCTGGCAGATATTACATTGTGTAGTCTTCCATACTTGTGCAACAATAGTCGGCCTACTGTGTATTCTCCTTCAGCTCATAAAGTAATAAAAAAAAACGTACAGGGAAGTACTTTACATGATGTTCGTCTGAACTTTAACCCGAAAGCATTAACTGTTATGACATGTTAACTATAGTAAAAAATGTTTGCAGATTGTTCAGAGGATGGAGGAGAATTGTTATCTATAAAGTATTTTTATATGTCATGATATTTAAAAGGAAAATGCAACCTCTATCCATTCAATGTTCCTAATTAGCTTAAATTGTTCCAGAAGTGTTTGATTATTTTATGAAATAAAGATTAATCGAACATGTAAAAGGTAATAAAAAGACCAAAAAGACTTCTCATAATTTAGATTTTATTTTTTTTTTTTAAAGCTGCTTTTATTTTATTCCCAAGTTGCCTGTGTGTGTTTCCAGTCTGGCATTATGCTAAAACACACCTGAATGCTATCCTGAGCTATCTATATAGTTATGCTGCTATAGGCTTAGACTTCTGGAGGACATAGGGACCCATTTTTCATCATTCTGCTTCCTTCTATCCTGCAGAACGTTCTGCTCTCTCTGTTTTTTCTCATAGTAGCTTCATCTGGTCTGTTCCTGTTTGGCTGTGACTTCATCCTGGAGAGAAATATCAGCTGTGCTGCTGCCATCAACATCTTTGTTTATAGATGTTGGAGATCGGGCTGTTTTTCAGTGTAGTCCTCACTGTGACTGGCTGGATGTTCTCTCTTCATCCTCTGAAATGGGAGCTTGCTTGGAGCTTACAGTTGCCTTTTGTATCTCTGCTTCTGTCTCCTTGAACCCCAGTCGGCCTCGGCAGATGGCCGCTCACACTGAGCCTGGTTCTGCACTGGAAAAAAATCGAAATCTAGATAAGTTGTTTTTTCTTAAAATAAGTGTATTTGCTCTTGGATTTAGTAGGTAAAAGAGAGATTTTGCCAATGGAACAAGACAATTTACACTTACAATAAGAAAACACAATTGCATTGTCTAATTTCAGGTGCATTTTATCTAATTTTCTTATTTTAAGAGCAAAAATACTCATTCCATTGGCAAGCTATCTCCTTTACCTACTCAGATTAAGTGTAAATACACTTAATTTAAGACATTTCTACTCATTTTTAGATTCTTTTTCCAGTGTGCAGGTTTCTTCCTGTTAAAAGGGAGTTTGTCCTCTCCACTGTCACTACAAGCATGCTTAAAGGAATAGTACACCCAAAACATGATTAGCCTTCATTTTCTACTCACCCCCATGCTGAACAACACTCTGGAGTACTTTTTTGATATCTCAAATGCATCTGGAGATCTGGGAGACTTCTTGCTGTCTGCTGACATTCAAATAATGGAGGTCTATGGTGCCCGAGGCAGAAAGGTCCACAAAAGTCCACAAAAAACGTGTCAATATTCCTCCATACTGCTCGTCCAATGTATTCCAAGTGTCCTGAGTGGGTAGCATCCAGAATTTACTCGAAACGAAGTCATTTAGAATGTTTTTAGAGCATAAACAGTAGTGTATAGGATTTCCTGAAAGCGCGCTCATGACGCTACGGAAGCCGGCAGACCAAACCAGATGAAAGTGCGCATTCAGCGTCTGCTCTGCCGATAATGCAAGCGTAGAAGAAGAAGTGTGCTGTTTACCTGTGCAAAGAAAGAAACAACGAAAGAAAAATGTCTGAGGACTTCAGTGTTGAGGAAGAGCATGAGTTCTTTGCCGAGCTGAATGCGCACTTTCATCTGGTTTGGTCTGCCGCGGTTTCCGTAGCGTCGTGAACGCGCTTTCAGGAAATCCTATACACTACTGTTTATGCTCTAAAAGCATTCTAAATGACTTCGTTTCGATTAAATTATGGACGCTACCCACTCAGGACACTTGGAATACATTGGACGAGCAGTATGGAGGAATATTGACACGTTTTTTGTGGACTTTTATGGACCTTTCTGTCTTTCTATATATATATATATATATATATATATATATATATAATGCAACAATATACATAGATAAAACTTTGAGTCAATTTGGTTGAACTGTTCAGTTCAGTAGCTTTTATTTGTCCCAGTATGAGCAATTTTGTGCAGTAGTAGTACACCTTTCACACACATGTTCACAAATCACAGATAAAAAAGAAGCACAAGATACACATAAATATTTAAAAAGATAAAAGTAAGGTGGATAAAAGAGACAGAGATGTAAAAAAAAAAAAAAAAAAGTAAATATGTTCCAATGAGAGCATAGGCCTGAATGCATGCAACATATGGCTATCTGCTTTTCCTGGTAGAGTTTAGCAGCTGAAGAGCAGAGGTAATAAAGGAATGTTTGTATCTGTTGGTCTGAACTGGTGGGTATTTAAAACAGGAACCAGAGGGTAGAAACTGAAATTCGTTATGTAGAGGATGGGTATAATTATCCAAAATGGACTCAGCCTTCCTAATTACCTGATCTTCATACATTTCAGTCATGTTTTTCTGTTGAACACCCGTGATCTTACTACACACCTTAATAATCTTAGATAAGCATTTTTGTTCTTTACATTAAGAAGAGCGTACCAGCAGATGGCAGAGAAGGTAAGTATGGACTCTATAAAAGATCTGTAGAACATGGTCATTAGAGTTTTGTCAACCTGAAACCTGGCTAACTTTCTCAGGCAGTATAAGCGCTGCTGCCCTTTCTTACATACAGTAGCATGTCTGTGTTGCTGTTGAAAGTTAATTTGTCATCTATGATAGACCCAAGATATTTATACTGATGAACAATTGCAATGTCTTGCCCGTTTATAATGGTTGAAGCTATTATAAACATGTAAAGAAAATGGGATGAGATGTTGATCGTCGCTGTCACATCCAGTGGAAGAAAATGACTCAGACAGAGCATAATGTTTAATGATCTGATTTTCTTTATTTGATATATCAAAAAATAAACTAAATTTATGTTCTAAAATATAAAACAACAGCAGTGTGATGCCCTGCCTGGGTGGTTGTAAATGTTTGTAAATTTTTTTTTCAATAATGGATGCTAGAAGAAAACCTTTAATAGTCAAGTGGAAGGAAAGAGAGTGGGCGGGGTCTGCATGAACTGGCTGTCATTCCCCTAAAGCCACTTCCTCCTCCAATGTGCATCAAGATATCTCATGAGGCTGAGCCAAGATGTCTGTTCATCACACTAATATAACTTATTCATCACCGCAATAACAATTTCTTACATGTTTTCATAAATGACACAAGCTTCTTATACATTTATCCAACCGATTAAAGACTGAACAAATAGAAACCATTAAATATATACAGAGGTACCGTTATAAAAATTAAATCATTCAAATCATTTTCTGAGTGGAAGTCATGCAATCAACACAGTATAATTGATTATTGCGTCTTCATCATGGCCCTTGTTGCCTTCATTGGTGGTAACGGTTTTAACTTTTCCTCTGCAGCAAATCCACCTCCTTACTGTCCGTATATGTGGACCAGGCTTACATCGGACCTCATCAGAAATGGTGCAGCTTATGATTTATTTAATTTTTTAAAGTTTATGTCCTTAGAGGGTGAGAGCTGTTCTCAGATTTTGTCGGTGTACTTCAGCAGGCCGTAAACCCCGCCACCTGAAAGGAAAGAGAAAAAAAACCTTTTAGAACTGATACCAGAAACTCTTCTATTCCCCCCAAAACAACCTACATGTCTAGTCATACTAGCTCAAGATCTAGAGTTAGAGTAGTTATTTAACCCTTAGATAGAAGATGCTTATGTAATGCTAAGCTATGAGCAAGAAGCTCTTGCGTAGTCCAAGTTTCCTAGAAAATATAAGCTGCAGCATTAAATTTGACCCCTGAACACTAAAATGAAGCCACAGTACAGTGTGAAGTACGGCTGCACAGGCATTATGATATGGGAATGTGTTCTCTTGCTGTGGTATCAGGCCATTTATCACATGTCAGTAATCGAGGATCAGTTTCAATTTATCACCTTACTTGGTAACTGTTTATGCTGATTAAAAAAAAAAACAACCTGACATGTAAACAGCATAATGGCCCCAATAAGAGAACAGCAAGGAGCAATTTGGTCCAGATCAACAATTTTAAAGCCCTGGGGCAACCAGTCCAATAAAAAAAAAAAACATATCTACATGCTGTTTCTGAGGTTAAACCAAAAAACGAATTCTGACAGAGATGGGAAGTGCTTCTCAGAAACAGCTAATTATTAATTGTGCAGTTAATGGTTGAGTTTTGATAGACAAAAGCTTATTTAAGTTATATTTGCGGATGAATGATCTCATCAATTGACAGCCTTATAGTTTCTATTTTTCCTCACCTTTAGCAGCTTGAACTTTACTCACTTTTAATTTTGATACACTGACAAAAAATGGAATTAAACTTCCATTTGTAGTATATATATATATATATATATATATATATATATATATATATATATATATATATATATATATATATATATATATATATATATATAAATCCAACATCAACTGTCAGGGGGGAAAAAATAAAAAAAAATTTTTGGCCGATTTTTTGTGTACACTTTGTCGGCATCTAGCGGCTAAAGGTGATATTGCAATTTCTTTAAAATTGCTGCTCTCTGATCTGGATAGAAAACGAGGGAAATAACAGAGTGTGTCAAGATTATGAAGCTGGACTAGATGTGATTCATTGCTGTAAATGAAAGTACACTTATTTCCAAACATGATTTCTCTGAATCCAGTTCGGATCAGAAGGATGTTTTTTGTTTTTGTTTTACTTTTTATCCAGATAAATATTCTATTTCTTGCTCAGAATCATTTTTATGGTACTATTTGAACAGCAGACTTTGCATATATCCAAAGCCTAAAGACCAATAAAGGATGGGACAGAAGTAGCAAACAGAAAACGCATCTCCATCCTTCGTCATTGAAAGCAGAGCGGGTTAATGGATAACAGGCCACACAGAGATGATGGGGTGGTAAAAAAAAAAAAAGAAAAAAGAGCAGCGTTGTAGAAGATTTTGTGTATTAGTTAGTTGTGCGGCAATGCAATTTTTGGGCCCCGATACCTGGCTGTGCAGTATTTGCCAATACCGATACCATCTGTTTGAAATTGATGTGTGCGTGAAGAACTGCATACTACTTGGATGTAAAATAATTGCAATACTGTTTTGTGAAGCAGGAAAAAGACTAATACAAAGTGAACCCAGTAGAGCTTTTTATTGCCTACCTGGAATGGGTGACAATAGTTTAATAAACTTTTGGCTCTTAAAATGTTATCGGTGCCCTATCTGTTGGTACGCATTGATACCAATACCACCATCTTAGTGTTGGATCGGGGCCCTGCCTGATACTGGTATCGGTGCAACACTAGTATTTATCCATTATACTCACCCAGTAAACCAACCCCAGCCACTGTACCGATGACGATGCCTGCTATTGCTCCTCCTGACAGTCCTTGAGTTCCATTTTTTGCAGGTGCCTCAGTAGCGATGGTTACTTGGGTGGTGTTGGTATCTGGTGCCACAGTAGTGCTGTTATCTGGTTTCTGTGTTGAGTTTGTGGTTGGTCCAGGAGTGTTCACTGTTGGGGCGGTGGATGGATTAACCGTTGTGGATGCAGTAGTGGCATTCGTTGAGGTTGTGGCTCCTGTTGTTGAGTTATCACTTGATTGGGTTCCAGGCAGATTTACTGTGTATAAAATAAAAAATAAAAGATTTGAAGCACATTCTCTATTAACAATATTTATCACTTCAAAACGCAAGTGTCCATCCAGATAGTAGTACTAGTACCTTTTAGTTCTTATATATTTACCCTTAAAGTCTATCTTTAATATTTTCATTACCTAAATACAACATGTATTTAGGTCATTAACATTTGGGTGCCGTTGGACTATTTCAAAGTGACAAATACTCTGAATAAACTCTGATTTATATTATTGATAATTCTCTAAATAACATTAAAATATGCTTATAAGTAAAGGATTCATTTAAAATTAAATTGCACCAATCCTGATAAAAAAACGACAGAGTACAAACCAAACCTTTGAGGAAATAGTTCCTGTAAAAAGCCTGACAATGAGAGCGACCTACCCTTTTTTTAAACAATGTAAACATAATTTATGGTGTTTATCAACCATCACCTTTGGACACAATACTAAAATGTCCCTACATGGACTCATTTAGCTTCTTAGAAAGTTGTAAATCAAGACAAAAGGGTTATTGTGTTCTTTAATCATGGATGCTGGTTGTTTCTCAGCTAAAACATCAGATATTTCCTCTTTTTTTACTCTTTTTGTTGCACAATTTATCCTTTTTTTTTTTCATTTTCCTGCTGCTGGTTTACCTAAAGATTCTCTTTAAAACAACCATTTTGACTCAATCATTTAAGAAATATGGTCATAAAAAGTTTTTTTTTTCCCGGAATATATAAATCATTGTTACCTGATGCAAAGAGGCAAAGAGCCGCTAGCAGAAGACTTGTTTGCATTTTTGCAGAGTATTGGTGTCAAAAAGTTTCTCTTGGGGAAAATCTGGAGAAAAAAAAACAGAATTAGAAACAAAAAGGAAAAAGATTCATGTTTATAGAGGTTATTTATTACCCATTTAAACAGAAAAATATATAAAAAAAAAATGTATGGCATAAGAAAAGACATTTAAAATTAAATTTAGTTTCACAAAATATGTTTGAAGGAAAAAAGTTTTAAATAAATAACATTATTTGCACTTTTAACTAGATTAGATACATTTATGACTTCTGTTTAGTAGCAAGAATTTGATATAATTTATTTCTTAATTCCATCTTTTTAAAGAGAAACTCAACTTAATTTAATCTATATATGATTCTTTGTCGTAATAAAACAACTAACAAACTAATCCTGGCAAAGATGAAAGGTGTCAGTTGAACATAAACATCATTTTTCCTTTTTGTCAATTTGCCCAAATGTAGATATTTAAAATACTGACCAAGAGCTGATGCTAAAGAATCAAATCCTGGTGACTTTTCTTAAAACACCAAGGAGAGCAGAGCTACTCACCAGAGAGGCTGTCAATGATGTCTGTCCTTCTTTCCTGTAAGGGTGCAGGATATTTATCTTTTATGGCCTGGTTATCACACCTACCTGTCATTTTTTAGCCCTCCCATCTGTATTTCCGTTTCTAGTCCAGTGCGTTTTACTTCACCGACTGCTCGTAGCGTTTATCTGGTTTATTCGATTATAACAGCTAATTAAATGAAATGTCTGGTAAACATGGGAGGGTAAAAAAAAACAGGTCATACTTAGGATGTGGTTGAGTCATTTAAAATCATAAAAAACATCGTTGGGATTAAAACATTTTATCTATTCTGTTTCCATTGAAACTAATGTTTTCTTCTCTCTCCTCGGAGAAGTAGTGTACCGTATCCGGGGGGCAATGAGAGAAAAGCAGGTATATAGAGTATGTTTTTACCTATTTGTACTCACCACCTCGTTTCTTCAGCTCAGGTCTGCAGCACTTGTTTGAACTGGGAGCTGGAAACAGTGAAAACTAAGGCAACAAGCTGATAAAGCCTGGTTATTAAACTCTGTTTGTTCAGCTTGGTGAGCTGTCCAGCGGACTGTAGCTGAAAACACGGTCTCTGCAGCACAGTATCGTTGTCATTTACAGCATGTGGTAGCGTCTGCTGGTTACCAGCTGTCACAGAAACGGTTCGCAGCAAGTTCCCAGAATGTTTCCACTTATGTTTGTCTTGAAATGGATTGGATTTACAAAATGATTAAAAAAAAAAACTTCAAATCATTTTCATCATAAGGAAGGTAGGAGTGTTGGCCTAGTGGTTAGAGCAGTGTTCTTGTGCCCTGAAAAGGTTGCAAGTAGCTGGTTTGATCCCAACTGCCCCCACTCTGGGTTCCTGAGCAAGACCCTACACTGCAAAAAATCTTTTTTTTTTTCTTAAAATAAATGCATTTGTTCTTGAATTAAGGAGGTAAAAGAGAAATTCTGCCAATGGAAGAAGACAACTTGCACTTAAAATAAGAAAACACAATTGCATTGTCTTATTTCAAGTGCATATTATCTAATTATCTTATTTTAAGAGTAAAATTACTCATTCCATTGGCAAACTTTCTCATTTACCTACTCAAATTAACGGTGAATACACTTAATTAAGGAAATTTTTAGGGATGCACGATACAATCGGCCCCCTATCGGTATCGGCCTGTATCGGCCTTAAAACTGAATATCGGACATTGGCCACCCCACCGATATTTAACCCGATATTTGATCAGCTTCTGAGTTTCTAAAGTAAAAAAATAAATAAATAAACACTACTTCTTCTTCTTCCTCAAAAACTTCTTTTTTACAGACTTAAAAACTTCTAAAGACGAGGGAAAAAATATTGATACATTAAAATATCCCAATATCTTCATATGCTGATATATTGCCATTTAAAAACACCATATCAATCTCTTTTACTAATGAAATATTGCTATATGTCATCGTTATGCTACGAAATCCCCCGAAAATTCACGAAATTTGGCCATATTTTTATATGTTGATATATTGACGCGGTATCGATCTATTTTACTAACAAAATCTCACAAGAATTTGCAAAATATCACGAGAGTTTGTAACAGAACGATGAAATTTCATGAGATTTTGAAAGTAAAATAGATCGATACCGCGTTTTTAAAAATCTATTTGATATCAGCATATGAAAATATATTTGAGTATATTATTTTTCAAAGTGTCAGAAATGGATAACAAAACTGCTATTTTCAATGACTACTTATTTTTGTCCAGCTTTAAAGGAATAGTACACCCAAAACATGATTAGCCTTCATTTTCTACTCGGCCCCATGCTGAACAACACTCTGGAGTACTTTTTTGATATCTCAAATGCATCTGGAGATCTGGGAGGCTTCTTGCTGTCTGCTGACATTCAAATAATGGAGGTCTATGGTGCCCGAGGCAGAAAGGTCCATAAAAGTCCACAAAAAAACGTGTCAATATTCCTCCATACTGCTCGTCCAATGTATTCCAAGTGTCCTGAGTGGGTAGCGTCCATAATTTACTCGAAACAAAGTCATTTAGAATGTTTTTAGAGCATAAACAGTAGTGTATAGGATTTCCTGAAAGCGCGCACATGCGCGATCACGACGCTACGGAAGCTGGCAGACCAAACCAGATGAAAGTGCGCATTCAGCGTCTGCTCTTCCAATAATGCAAGCGTAGAAGAAGAAATGTGCTGTTTACCTGTGCAAAGAAAGAAACAACGAAAGAAAAATGTCTGAGGACTTTAGTGTTGAGGAAGAGCATGAGTTCTTTGCCGAGCTGAATGCGCTGGTTTGGTCTGCCGGCTTCCGTAGCGTCGTGATCGCGCACGTGCGCGCTTTTAGGAAATCCTATACACTACTGTTTATGCTCTAAAAACATTCTAAATGACTTTGTTTCGAGTAAATTCTGGATGCTACCCACTCAGGAAACTTGGAATACATTGGACGAGCAGTATGGAGGAATATTGAAACGTTTTTTGTGGACTTTTATGGACCTTTCTGCCTCGGGCGCTGGGCACCTCCATTATTTGAATGTCAGCAGACGGCAAGAAGCCTCCCAGATCTCCAGATGCATTTGAGATATCAAAAAAGTACTCCAGAGTGTTGTTCAGCATGAGGGTGAGTAGAAAATGAAGGCTAATCATGTTTTGGGTGTACTATTCCTTTAACATCGGTATCGGCGTCGGTATCGGTTATCGGCTACATGAGTTTTAAAATATCGGTACATCGGATTTTGGCCAAAATCCCAATATCGTGCATCTCTAGAAATTTTTACTTTTTCTAGATGGTTTTTGCAGTGTAGACCTTACACTGCAAAAAAATGAAATCTAATTAAGTAAGTTTTGCTTAAAATAAGAGATTTTTTTCCTGAATTGAGCAGGCAAGTGAGACTCTTTGCCAATAGAGCAGGACAATTTATATTTAAAATAAGAAAAAACTATTGCATTGTCTTATTTTAAGTGCATAATATCTAATTATCTTACTTTAGGATTAAATATACTCATTCCATTGGCAAATTGTCTTATTTACCTACTGAAATTGAAATGTTTTACTAATTTCTAGATTTTTTTTTTGCAGTGTAGACTGCTCCCCAGGCGCCACACAATGTCAGCCCACAGCTCCTCAACACTACAAAAACAATCTACGAATAAGTAAAAATTACCTAAATTAAGTGTATTTACACTTATTTTGAGCAGGTAAATAACAAGATTTGCCAAAGGATGGTGTTTTTACTCTTAAAATAAGATAATTAAATAATATCCACCTGAAATAAGACTACGCAATTGTTATTATTATAAATGTAAATAGTCTCGTTCAACTGGCAAAGCATCTCACTTACCTCCTCAATTAAAGAAAAAATGCTCTTATCTTAAGAAAAAATGGCTTATTTAGATTTAAAATGTTTGCAGTGAAGGGGATGGGTTAAATGCACACTGGAAAAACGATGTAGGAATAAATAAAATGGTCTTTAATTAGGTATTATAATATTCTCATCTCATTTACCTACTCAAATTAAGGGTAAATACCTATATTATATCATAATACCTAATTAAAGACAATCACTTATTTCTGCATCGTTTTTCAACTGTGCATTTAACCCATTCCCTTCAGTGCAAACATTTTTAATCTAAATAAGCCATTTTTTTCTTAAAATAAGTGCTTTTTTTAATTGAAGAGGTAAGTGAGACGCTTTGCCAATTGAACAAGACAATTTACATTTGAAATAAGAAATAACAATTGCGTAGTCTTATTTCAGGTGGATATTATCTAATTATCTTATTCTCATCTCATTTACCTACTCAAATTAAGGGTAAATACCTATATTATAAGATAATTAGATAATATGCACTTGAAATAAGACAATTTTAAGTGTAAATTGTCTTTTTCTATTGGCAAAATTTATCTTTTACTTTCTCAATCCAAGAACAAATGCACATATTTTAAGGAAAAATTACTTATAGAGTTTTTTTATTTTCAGTGCAGAGAGTGAATTTCCTCATTGTGGGACAATAAAGGGATTTACATTACATAAGGCAGATTTTTTTTAAAGAATTTTTTTAAATTTTACTTCTGTGACATCATTCATTTTGCACCTTGACCACAGTATTGATGACACCTTGAAGGGAATAATTGTTTTCCTGCGTTGCCATTCAGTCATTCGGGTGTGGAAAGACCTTGACACAAAGCAAAGTCTTTGAAAGTTGGCAGATGAGTCATTCCTCCCTGCAGGAGCAGAGATGTAAGTATAAAGGTTCATAGATTAGAATAATCTGCAGCACCTGGTCATTTCTACTTTCCTGAATCCTTAATTATTTCCTCCCACCACCAACAAATCATTTCAATGAATGGTTTTTATGTTCTGCTATAATTTATGATGAGGGAATTTAACCATCCAGACATGTGAAGCAGGTGCAGCTGCAGGAGAGGATTTAAGTATACTTGTTATATAAGTTTTCCTAAAGTAACAGATGAATTACAAGTTTTAGAAGCACTTGATGGCAGGCAGAGAAGGTAATGCATTAATTTTAGTCAGGTGTGCTAAAGCAGGGACACATCTGGAACACAGGGGGAGCAGAGCCACTGTAGGGTTATATGAACTTTAAATGTTTCTCTGCTCCCAACATGCTGGAAGCAACTGCTTGAAGTGAACTGATTGAGGCGTTTCATTCAGGTCTGATAAAATGTAGGATAAAGGGGCAAGGGGTGGGGGGGCAGACTTAAGGCGGTAACCTCCTGATGATGAATCGGGGTGGGGTTAAAAGAATGTCAAACATTAAACTTTTATCAGTGAATTGTTGGGTAAGAACAGGTGGGGTCCTGCTGCTTAGCTTGCCAAACCAAACTGATTTGTTAAAACTTAATATGATTCTTTTGTCATGTTAATTGCAGCATATCTCCTGCTGGGGTTTTGATGTGAATGTAAAAGTAATATAAAGAGTGCCTTGTTGTGATTTTAAATGAGAAATCTCCGACTTGATTTAGTGTTAGTGTTCACTATCATAAGGGATTATTTTATTTCCTAATTTTGTAAAGAAACTCCCCCATTTTTCAGCTCTGATATAATCAGAATTATCTGTGGGTATAGAATTTATTCTCCTTATTTGAGAAATGTCAAGAATGTTATTCCTGGTTGTTTTCACAGTCAGGCACTAATAAAAAGCTCCAATTCTAAGACAAAGGTCAGCTCACGGTATATCAGCCTGGTTTCTCCAAAAGAACACACTGGAAAAACTATCTAGATATAAATAAAAAAAAATCTTAAATTAAGAGTTTTTACCCTTAATTTGAGCAGGTAAATAGTTTTCCAATGTAATGAGTATTTTTACTCTTAAAATAAGATAATTAGATAATATTCACTTGGAATAAGACAACACAATTGTGTTTTCTTATTTTAAGTTTAAGTTGTCTTGTTCCATTGGCAAAATGTCTCTTTTACCTCCTCAATCCAATAATAAATGCACTTATTTTGAGAAAAAATGACTTATCTAGATTCAAATTTTTCCAGTGCAATCT